GTGTAACAGTGCCCTAACATAGGCTTCCAACACTGTAGTCTGTGAGTGGACAGTGTAACAGTGCCCTAACATAGGCTTCCAACACTGTAGTCTGTGAGTGGACAGTGTAACAGTGCCCTAACATAGGCTTCCAACACTGTAGTCTGTGAGTGGACAGTGTAACAGTGCCCTAACATAGGCTTCCAACACAGTAGTCTGTGAGTGGACAGTGCCCTAACATAGGCTTCCAACACTGTAGTCTGTGAGTGGACAGTGTAACAGTGCTCTAACATAGGCTTCCAACACAGTAGTCTGTGAGTGGACAGTGTAACAGTGCCCTAACATAGGCTTCCAACACTGTAGTCTGTGAGTGGACAGTGCCCTAACATAGGCTTCCAACACTGTAGTCTGTGAGTGGACAGTGCCCTAACATAGGCTTCCAACACTGTGGTCTGTGAGTGGACAGTGCCCTAACATAGGCTTCCAACACTGTAGTCTGTGAGTGGACAGTGTAACAGTACCCTAACATAGGCTTCCAACACAGTAGTCTGTGAGTGGACAGTGCCCTAACATAGGCTTCCAACACTGTAGTCTGTGAGTGGACAGTGCCCTAACATAGGCTTCCAACACTGTAGTCTGTGAGTGGACAGTGTAACAGTACCCTAACATAGGCTTCCAACACTGTAGTCTGTGAGTGGACAGTGTAACAGTGCTCTAACATAGGCTTCCAACACTGTAGTCTGTGAGTGGACTGTGCCCTAACATAGGCTTCCAACACTGTAGTCTGTGAGTGGACAGTGTAACAGTACCCTAACATAGGCTTCCAACACTGTAGTCTGTGAGTGTAACAGTGCCCTAACATAGGCTTCCAACACTGTAGTCTGTGAGTGGACAGTGTAACAGTGCCCTAACATAGGCTTCCAACACAAAGTCTGTGAGTGGACAGTGCTCTAACATAGGCTTCCAACACAGTAGTCTGTGAGTGGACAGTGTAACAGTGCCCTAACATAGGCTTCCAACACAAAGTCTGTGAGTGGACAGTGCCCTAACATAGGCTTCCGACACAGTTGTCTGTGAGTGGACAGTGCCCTAACATAGGCATCCATAACTGTGGTCTGTGAGTGGACAGTGCCCTAACATAGGCTTCGATCACTGTAGTCTGTTAGTGGACAGTGTAACAGTGCCCTAACATAGGCTTCCAACACAAAGTCTGTGAGTGGACAGTGTAACAGTGCCCTAACATAGGCTTCCAACACAAAGTCTGTGAGTGGACAGTGCCCTAACATAGGCTTCCGACACAGTTGTCTGTGAGTGGACAGTGCCCTAACATAGGCTTCCAACACTGTGGTCTGTGAGTGGACAGTGCCCTAACATAGGCTACATACACAGTAGTCTGTGAGTGGACAGTGTAACAGTGCCCTAACATAGGCTTCCAACACTGAAGTCTGTGAGTGGACAGTGTAACAGTGCCCTAACATAGGCTTCCAACACTGTAGTCTGTGAGTGGACAGTGTAACAGTGCCCTAACATAGGCTTCCAACACTGTAGTCTGTGAGTGGACAGTGTAACAGTGCCCTAACATAGGCTTCCAACACTGTAGTCTGTGAGTGGACAGTGTAACAGTGCCCTAACATAGGCTTCCAACACTGTAGTCTGTGAGTGGACAGTGTAACAGTGCCCTAACATAGGCTTCCAACACAGTAGTCTGTGAGTGGACAGTGCCCTAACATAGGCTTCCAACACTGTAGTCTGTGAGTGGACAGTGTAACAGTGCCCTAACATAGGCTTCCAACACAAAGTCTGTGAGTGGACAGTGCTCTAACATAGGCTTCCAACACAGTAGTCTGTGAGTGGACAGTGTAACAGTGCCCTAACATAGGCTTCCAACACAAAGTCTGTGAGTGGACAGTGCCCTAACATAGGCTTCCGACACAGTTGTCTGTGAGTGGACAGTGCCCTAACATAGGCATCCATAACTGTGGTCTGTGAGTGGACAGTGCCCTAACATAGGCTTCGATCACTGTAGTCTGTTAGTGGACAGTGTAACAGTGCCCTAACATAGGCTTCCAACACAAAGTCTGTGAGTGGACAGTGTAACAGTGCCCTAACATAGGCTTCCAACACAAAGTCTGTGAGTGGACAGCGCCCTAACATAGGCTTCCGACACAGTTGTCTGTGAGTGGACAGTGCCCTAACATAGGCTTCCAACACTGTGGTCTGTGAGTGGACAGTGCCCTAACATAGGCTACATACACAGTAGTCTGTGAGTGGACAGTGTAACAGTGCCCTGACATAGGCTTCCAACACAAAGTCTGTGAGTGGACAGTGTAACAGTGCCCTAACATAGGCTTCCAACACTGTAGTCTGTGAGTGGACAGTGTAACAGTGCCCTAACATAGGCTTCCAACACTGTAGTCTGTGAGTGGAAAGTGTAACAGTGCTCTAACATAGGCTTCCAACACTGTAGTCTGTGAGTGGACAGTGTAACAGTGCTCTAACATAGGCTTCCAACACTGTAGTCTGTGAGTGGACAGTGTAACAGTGCTCTAACATAGGCTTCCAACACTGAAGTCTGTGAGTGGACAGTGTAACAGTGCCCTAACATAGGCTTCCAACACAGTAGTCTGTGAGTGGACAGTGTAACAGTGCCCTAACATAGGCTTCCAACACAAAGTCTGTGAGTGGACAGTGTAACAGTGCCCTAACATAGGCTTCCAACACTGTAGTCTGTGAGTGGACAGTGTAACAGTGCCCTAACATAGGCTTCCAACACAGTAGTCTGTGAGTGGACAGTGTAACAGTGCTCTAACATAGGCTTCCAACACTGTAGTCTGTGAGTGGACAGTGTAACAGTGCTCTAACATAGGCTTCCAACACTGTAGTCTGTGAGTGGACAGTGTAACAGTGCCCTAACATAGGCTTCCAACACAGTAGTCTGTGAGTGGACAGTGTAACAGTGCCCTAACATAGGCTTCCAACACTGTGGTCTGTGAGTGGACAGTGTAACAGTGCTCTAACATAGGCTTCCAACACTGTAGTCTGTGAGTGGACAGTGTAACAGTGCCCTAACATAGGCTTCCAACACTGTAGTCTGTGAGTGGACAGTGTAACAGTGTCCTAACATAGGCTTCCAACACTGTAGTCTGTGAGTGGACAGTGTAACAGTGCTCTAACATAGGCTTCCAACACTGTAGTCTGTGAGTGGACAGTGTAACAGTGTCCTAACATAGGCTTCCAACACAGTAGTCTGTGAGTGGACAGTGTAACAGTGCCCTAACATAGGCTTCCAACACTGTAGTCTGTGAGTGGACAGTGTAACAGTGTCCTAACATAGGCTTCCAACACTGTAGTCTGTGAGTGGACAGTGTAACAGTGCTCTAACATAGGCTTCCAACACTGTAGTCTGTGAGTGGACAGTGTAACAGTGTCCTAACATAGGCTTCCAACACAGTAGTCTGTGAGTGGACAGTGTAACAGTGTCCTAACATAGGCTTCCAACACTGTAGTCTGTGAGTGGACAGTGTAACAGTGCTCTAACATAGGCTTCCAACACTGTAGTCTGTGAGTGGACAGTGTAACAGTGTCCTAACATAGGCTTCCAACACAGTAGTCTGTGAGTGGACAGTGTAACAGTGTCCTAACATAGGCTTTCAACACTGTAGTCTGTGAGTGGACAGTGTAACAGTGCCCTAACATAGGCTTCCAACACTGTGGTCTGTGAGTGGACAGTGTAACAGTGCCCTAACATAGGCTTCCAACACTGTAGTCTGTGAGTGGACAGTGTAACAGTGCTCTAACATAGGCTTCCAACACTGTAGTCTGTGAGTGGACAGTGTAACAGTGTCCTAACATAGGCTTCCAACACAGTAGTCTGTGAGTGGGGCAGGATTCAGGCCATCCTCAGCACTTGAAACAACTTCTACCTGTGGGTCCATGGCAGAATTCATCATATTACACATAAAACATAACTGTTGTCCATTTATTCATACTCTCAATTTAAATAATACAGTAAATTTGTTTTGCTTTTACATAATCTCTATCCACTGTGACATGCTTGAAACACACATATAGAACACAACATTAAAGCGACATCACATGATGAAAATATAGTGCCAACTGAAACTGCTTCCAACACCAAGCCAA